TTTTTAAATTGTGTTAATTTTTAATTTAAATTTCTCAAAATTACAAAAATTATTGAATTTCAATGTTTTAGATTCAAATTAAATGCTATCGTTGTGTATATACTGTACAACCAGAATATGAACTAGATCATTGAATTTTTGGGAATCATCGGAATAGTGAGAATTGTAAGAATAGCGAGAATCGTGGATTTGCTGTATATTCTTCATTTGCGAACGGTGTACAACCCCTAGGCTTCATTCGGTACAATTACTCTGCTTGTATTACAGAGTCTGTAACCTTTTACGAGCTTAGCCCAAAATAGACTCTTTCGGAGAGTGGTTTTTTTTTTCAAACGGTTCACAATGAGTTATCATTATAGCTGAAACCATCAACTAGATGAATTTATGAATTGCAATTCTGGCAAACCAACCTACGTTGAATAATTCTTTCTGAATTGCAACAAAGTGCCAGTTTTGAGAGTTGTACGCCACTTTAAAAGCAGCGCTATTCGAACATACCAGCACGCAGAGTCTGTTTGCGTGGTCACAGTCTAACGCATGGAAATGTTCGTTTTTTAATCGATGCATTCAGTACGTTTTGTCTAAAGCGAATCAATTGTTTTTCATTCGTATCATACTTGAATACTTTGCCATCAACGTTTTTCATCGAAAATGGTAAAAGGTCATATTACTAAATTCAAGTCATTTTGTGTAGGTGAGTAGTTGCCAATTTGACCAATGAACCTTGAATATTGCACAACAAATTGCAAAATAACATCGTTTAATTGGAGTATCATTCAGACTAATTCCTCTTCACAAATAATAAATCTTAAGTAATTTCGATAGATCATTGGCATCTAGGTAATATTCTAGTTAAGTAATTCAATAGCGAAGGTTTAATTAGACATAATAGACATTTATCATCACAAATCATAGCCATGTGAGAGCCGCTTAATTATCCTTTTAAATATAACACATACATACTAAATATGATCTTGCATGGTTTGCCAAACGCAAATGTAAATCCGAATATGTACGAGAGTCGCCATGTCGGTGTCATAAAATGAACTTATCATAATTCGACATTACATAAGAACTGGTTGATATTTTCACAGTTGGCTGAATGCTCATTCATGACTTTTTCGCAAATTGTGTCCAGCCGCAGCAAGCAATCTGTTGTTTATAGAATTATTACTATTTCGTGTCGCGTCATTTCTTTATCTCACTGACATACAGTGCACACAGTTCAATTTGTGGTCTTGTTTCTGCCGCAATGAACAATGTGTGAGTGTAAATACGCGCGCGCTCTCGTTGCTTAATCATTTCAGACACCGATTTACGAATTTTTGCTCTATTTACAGACGGCTGTCGAAGCTGAATGCACAATAAATTTTCAGCAAAATTGTTGTAATAATTTCGGGTGTGAACTCATGCATTTAATGCGCACAGGCATAGTCTCTGTAATAATAATGATAAATTAAAATGTTTCCACCAACAACGCGCTTCATTTTGAAAACGCAAAAACGTATAACCGAGATATTTAACGATTCTGACACAATTCCGGAACCAATTGCTCTATGAAAACTAAAATCACTATATCTTGTTATTAAGATAAATTTATGTTCTAAAATCATTACGTTTATGCAGTTGAATTTAATTTCAATATCCGCCATCGTTTCCAATACAATTATTTCTATTTTATGGAATAATAATGTGCTAGACAAATTATCAGTTTTCCAAAAAAAAAGACGAGCATAAAATTTTGATAGAAGGACTTAAAAAGTGATAACAAGCCTCTTTGTCAACTCTAATCTAATCAGTATTAATATTTTGCATCGCTGCCAGAAAAATTCTATTAGACATAAATGGATTATAACCTAAAGAAATTAACCATAAAAGGCAAACATGAAAACGACTTACAAAAAAAGGTGTGAGTGTCTGAAAATGTAGCAAACTGGGTACGCGATCATTTATTTATTGTTGGTTTTTTATGATTTTCTTTTTTTAGTCTGCTATCGCAGTCAATTTTTGTCAAGTGTACTAATCACATGGAAAATTATGAATAAATTATGCGTCTTGTTTTTAGGTGAATGCTTTTTTGCTCTGTCTCAATGCATATTCGTCGAGAGTATTTTTTGTGTGCCAAATAATAAGTGGTAAATGATTCGTTGCGAAAATGGTAAAAGAGCACACTCACCGGCCATGCATTCGTTCAAAATCTTGAAGTAAGCCTTTAATGGAATGTATCATGCGTACATTAATTCAATAGTGGTTGGTTCATTATTCACCGAATTGCCAGTATATTGAATATTCTCATGTTAGAGCCAAACAAATTTCCCAAAAATTTGTTTGTCAAAAATAGTAATTAAAGAAGTTTTCATGACAATGTACTCTTACTCTTATTAAGCTTATAACTCCATAAAATTTAGGAGTAACACGTGCGAAAAGATCACTTAATCCGAATAACAGGACTTAATTGTCATTCAATGTATGGAGCAAAATATTGTATACTCTTTCGGCGTTAAGCAAATTCAATTCAATTGACCTTTTCTGGACATTTTTAAGGCATATTTTCAGCATTACTGTGATCATTTGTCTAATTAAATGGCTGTCATCTATATTCGACTATAAATTGGAATATTTTTGGTCATTCAGTCGTGCGGACACGTTTTCCGTGGAATTTTATCCGAATATTTCGACAACTTACAAAAAAGAAAACAGCTTTTGGTTGTGCAAACGATGCAGAAAAACGCAATTTTTTCTCACTTTCCTCTATATAGTTGTCTTGCATATTCGAATGCATTCGGATTTTCCGTCGACTGTCGAAAGCCAGTGTAAATGCGCTCAGTTTGTCGCATTATACCATAGATTTTTTTCCACACTTGCTAAAGGCTTTAATTAAACTGTTTTGCTATAAACTTCACTTGAACCAAACAGACACAACCGGTGTGCGAATGTCGTTGTTATGAAACAACTTATATTGACTCGTTCAACCAACATCTGCAAAATTTTATTGAAGCTTGGCTGGGTCTGTATTCAACTCTAAACCTTAATTACCAAGATTAAACTCTAGACCGAGCAGACACCGTGCCGCACTCATATGGCGAAATCAATTTGTCGAATATCGAATTAAGCCCGAGAAAATAAATCTCGGCCACTGTAGGTCTTGTACTTATTCATTTTTTTGTCTATGTATTGCTTGTTTTTATCAAGAATTTTTTTTTGTTATTTTGACGGCGTATTTTTGATAACTTGCGCGATTGCACAAATTGAAAACGAATAAATAAATATAATATTCCAAACTTTATGTTACTCTATAGCAAATTGTATTCAAAATATCGTGAACCAGTAGTTCATGCTATAAAAATGTTGTGCGACTTTTCTTTTTAAATGAATGCGTGTATCAATGGATAAGTGCGTATGCAGCAAGGAATATTTAATTTATGTTAGATACACAAATCTTAGTTAAAACCAATTCTCGAAAGAGCGTTTAAATATTTCCTTGCTGAAGAAAAGGGAAAATACAGAATGAAATTAGTTGTAAACGTCCACATTCATTGGGCTTTTGAAACCGTAATTGACTTTTGCTAAGAAAAGAAAAAATGTTGACGAGACTATGTCTATCCAGCTATCTATTTCACAATATTATTTTTTCAACTGTCAATGATACTAAAGCGGTACGAGACAATGTGGCCGAGTAATTCGATAGCTAAAGCAAGGTCAGATATATTCGTTTTGTGTGTCTTTTTGCGTATAACATAATTTTCATATTTTTCCGATATGCTCTTTTCTTCAGATAAAGTACACTGATTCGGATATAAACCAAAATATTGAAAATTTTATTGGAATGTTTGAGCTATTATTTGTCTATCAACCATCTTTCTTTGTTTGTATATAATTGTATAGCTCTGTACTATTGATTCCATCAATATGCAAAGGTCCTATTGAAGCATCAATACAGACTTTTTTTATGTCTGAGAATTTGTCAGAATAAAATTGTTTTGATTTGTTTTTTTATGTATGAAATTAAAAAAATATTGATACAATTTTTAAGTATTATTTATAGTAGCCATGACAAAAAAAAAATTCAATGACGTAGAAAATGTCATTATTGTAAATTAAAAAAGGTCTATATCGACTATACGGATGAAAAAAATAGTTCATGAATTTCGAATTGATTTATTTGTACATTTAAATATAACCTATAGTATGGACATTGGACAACATAAATCAATCGAACTGAATTGAATGATTCTATAAAGAGAATGCCTAATTGCATTTGAGCAAGCGGTTTACATAAAAGTCAAAAAAAAATTTTTCAAACTCAAATTTATTGTCGGCGACCGGTTATGTGCAATATTTTATTTATGCTGATTTTAGTGTTTTTCTCGTTGAACGGTCAATTACGTTTTATAAAATAAATTGGACAATTCAGAGGGAATATCGAACATAGCATTATAATCGGTCAGTATATGCACAAACGAAGAGAGAGAGAGAGAGAGGGAGAAATTGATGTTATCCATGTAAAATATGCCAAACCATGATTATCAACGCCACCAAGAGTCTGCAATGAAAGATATGTATAATGTACTGCTGTCACGTGTCAATTCAAAGTAGAACAACAAATTCAGTTATAGATTATAGCATGGAAAAAATGTTATATAAAATGTTACCCTTCAACCTTTGTTTGCGTATAAAATTCATTCATAGAAACCATTAAAAAAAAAACAATATTTCATATTTTTTAAATGGTCAATTTTCAATTTTACCTCTAAATTTACTTTCATACAGGTCAAGTCTAGCAGGATTTTCAAAATAAATAAAGCGTTTGCATTGAGTTCGGATTTTTCGATCGCAAAAAATCATATTCATTTAATTGCTGTTGTGCTAGCATTTAACGAATGAAAATGTTTCAGTCTGTGACGTTACTAAGAATTGTTATTGTTAATTTGTTATTGTATTGTTTTTGAGACACAACCAAAGTGTGTGTGTGTGTGCTACAATGGGCCTTGCCTTTGGGTGTTTGGTTGAGACAAGAGCCACGAGTCGTATGACATTTAACGGTTTATTTCCTTTGCATTTCAAACTTCAGATTTTAGATCAGTAAACAAATCAGTTCGATTGCCGCCTGTATCATCACATTGAATTATTCGGGCACACGTTTTTGCACAGATTATATTACAAAATATCGCACTTTAAAATGCGCTCATTGCAAACACTGGTTGTGCGTCTGTTCAATAACACGATTATGGAAAAAGACACTTTAAATTTGATTGGAAAATTGTGCACTGAATTACAACTGACACCCGACATCGAATTCACATGCTATCAAGCACACGCTGAATACTGTAAGCGGTATTTTGAAAAGCGATTCAAACAGACGACATTCGAGTATAATGGCGCAATTAATCAGACGAATGAGCTAATGCAGTCAAGTCAAGAATTGGACGAAGTTGAAAAGACCACGCTGCTGCATACCTTGGCTTTAATATCAATTTGTGCCAAGTACGTGAATGGATTTCGGTCTGAAAAACTATTTGTAAAACTAACACAGTATTTAGAAAATAACGGCACACCATGTAGTTCACGAGAATTCCGAAATACCGAATATATTGTCTTCAAGTATTTGGAATTCAATGTATGTATCAACGTATGTGAAAGCAAAAAGCAAACATCCAATTGTCGGTACTTATCTCTTAATTTATTTCAATTTCTTTCTATCCACCACAAAAAAACAAACACACAGATCAAACCATCGGAATTGTATGCTGAGGCAATTGAATTGGCAAGGAAAATATCAAAAAAACATTGCGATCTCGTTCAGTACAACTCTCTCCATGACAGTTGTGTTAATTTACTTCGTAAAATATACCATTATCGCAAAGATTTCGATGAAATGTATGTATAACGGGCGGTTTTGTGTTTTATTGTGAGATTCTGTGATGACATTTATTGATACTGTAAATTAATGTGTTTATTTTGTTCTTGCAGTCTACATTACGTCGAAGAAAACACATACAATTATTTTGGAAATGAGGAATTCAAATTGGCAGCAGCAACATTATATGCGTCAACAATACTTATTAAGTCGCAGGGCGGAAATATTGTTCTAAATGAAATTGTAAAATTGACATATTTGAACGAATCACTTGTACGAAAATTGGGCCAGTCAGTGCATGACTTCTATTTAGATTGCATCAGATATTAAATTTATACATTAAGTATATGACATACTGAAGGGAAAAAAATATTCAAAACAGTGATATTATTTTATGGTTTAAGAGATGAAATAAATTGCCAAGCAAAAAATGAAAATGAATTTCAAATAGTTCGCTTTTAATATCCAAGTTCATGGGTACCAACCTAACACTGTTTCATTTCTCAGTATCGCTTCAAAGTGTTCACTGTTCATCCATCGTGTCACTCGTTGTGTGTGCACTGTGCATGCTATTGCGATAGGCGAGCAGCTGTGTGATTTGACTGTATTGGTGCCACCGACATTTTCAATGTATTTGGATTTCGCGTACAGTGATTTCCTTTTCATTTGTATGTAATATCCAACACTGTTCTACGTTGTAACCATACAGTTCTTTATTTATCCATTTCATTCATTCATTCAGTTGCACCGTTCATTTTATCGCGTTTGTGAAAAATATTATTTGTTCCTTTTTATCCATTTTTCATCGTCAAAATAATTATAGAAAATTTATAAATTCATTTGTCCAAAAAAATGACAAGTTATTTTGCCAAATAGAAAAGAACATTTCATTTAATCAGAAGTGGAAACGTGTTCAGAAACAAAAAGCAATAATATTTAAATAGGTGTTTAACACATTTCGATTTGGCCGTGATTCATCACCACGTTTGAAGATATTCCTTATTTTTGTTGCTTTTTATTTATGTTCCATGACATCATCGAACAATTTCGAAACATTCTAAAAGACATTTTCGACGCATTTAAAGAGAAACCATTGAATTGTCGTGCAAAGATTTCCCACTAGGAAAATTACTTTGTAAGTACTTTAAAAGTTTTATTTCAAAAAAAAAAAAATTGTACGAAACATTTTCACTTCGATTACATCATTTGATGGAGTGTTTACTAATTGACATAATTGAAATCATAACAACTGAATGCATATTGTTTTTTTTGCAATGATTCTATGCGATATTCTAGTTTTAGTATTTGCGAATCGCAGCTTCATTATTACACTGACGCAGTTTCACTTGTGTTTTTGTTTAGTTTGATTCTATCATTCACATTCTTCCGCCTGTGACAGAGTTGTCTATCAATTTATGCGGCATTTTCCCTTCTCTCTTCTCTGTCTATCTTCATCTCTGCCATTCTCGTTGCCAGCAATACTGTGAATTAAATTATAGTTGTGCGTTGGTTGTATTTGCGTCGTTTCATATCTCAGTTGCATGCTCAAATGAACTTTGTTGTTCATTCACAATTCGATGACATTTTTTGTTGTTGTTTTTATTTTTATCACAACATTTCATGGCACGAATGAGTTCGAAAACCTATCAACGTCATAATGTTTTCATAATATATATTATAAATGTTGAACGCGTGTACAGAAGAAAGAAAATCAAAAAAAAAAACTTGACACCTAAATGATTGTTTCCATATGTCATGCATGTGTTTTGACTGTCGTGTTTAATTGCAATTTTTTTAATGTTCATTTTTAGAAAGCAATTGGTTGTGTGCCATTGAAAATTGCAAAATGAATACGCCAACAATATATGAAAGTAGCGCTAGCAGTCCGACTACACCAACTCCAGATGGCCCGAACCGAAAGTATTATCGTAAAGCAGAACATAGGTAAGTTGTTTGGCTAAGTAAAATCTTGTTCACGTCAATTATCAACGTCGACAACTTTAATCGCAATTACGTTGATCAATGGTTAAAATACAACCGAATATAATTTCATGATGTTTTCATGTGAATTCGAATTAAATAAATTTCACATTTCATTTGATGGTATAAATGCCAATTGATATTATTTATTAACCACACGTGATGTTATGTGTACAGTTTTAAATTGAAGAAACTAACCCCAATGTATCTGATTCAGGAAATATAGCGTAATTTTCAAGTATGCTACTCAAATCGTACACCTCGTTTCTATTTAAAACGAAATTGTTTGCTAAAGCATTTTTGTGGAATGTGTTATTTTTTATGGCAGCATCTGAACGTTTACATATTGAATATTCTTTCGAAATAGTTTTCTCAAAACACGTTCATCGTTCAAAATAACTGAGTTGATAACCTTTGCTAACCGATGATGTGGAAAAATTAGTTTTTAATTTCATTACTTATTGAATTTACCCACTAATTGTTTACGATTCATATGAGCATTGAGATTAATGATTACAGCAGATGAACATTGCCATCCCGAAGGCATATCGCTTGTAGAACTTATCTGATGATTTTGAAAATTGTAAACTTATCAAAATGAAATATTCCAACCGAAAAAAAAATGTGGAAAAACTCGAATATTTCACACAAAATAAACGAATGAATGTGAGCGGCCATACAAGAAACACAAGTCAACAGCCACAATGATTTCGCATTTTTATATAAGTTTTGTGCTGATACCATTGTGCATATGTTTTCTTTTCCAAAAAAGATAAATATTTGCATTCTCTTTGGTACATGGATTCGATTCGTGTTCAATACAGACTCTATCACGTATAGCAATATGAAATGAATGCGAACTGTGCACAAAGAGATTAACTCAGTGATACAAAAATAAGCTGTAACTGTAACGGTATTTCAATAGTATTGGAATTGATCAGCAAACAAAGACAGAGATACTTTTTATCTCGTATAAAATTACGTTGAATTTTTTTAAAATCAAATTTAAAAGAATTAAATCAATTCTTTGTCATTTGAAAATAAAATATCTTATCTCAAAATGTGTTTTTAGTTTGTTGTGAAATCTTCCGAAAACAACTTTTCTGATTCATTGTGATCACGATTAGGTGAAACAAACATGCACATATTGATGTATTCACATACATTACACAACTATACGGTAGCATTTAACCAAATACACTTACATATGTGTACACAAAAATAAATATATGTGTACAGTATACATACGTTGGCTTGGCTTGTCACACACTCAACACTTAATTGTGTGCCACATTGTTTATACGATATTTTCTCTGTTTTGATAATGTGTTTTCGTATTCGCACCCTGAAAAACACAACAAATTCCGTTGTCATCATCGTTTTTACAAGTCAGTCTTAATTACGCATTCGACTTAAACTAATCGAAATCGCATTTTGTCTCTCGTTCATTGTATATTAACAGCGCATAATTAATTTGAAAATCATACACAGCTATTTTATTTAGTGAAGAGTGTCGTATTTTATACGCTTTGAAGTTCCAATAACGCAAATCATTCAATTAACTAAAGTGTACAGTATACACAGTCAATATATCTCTCAAGTGAAACTTCAGACAATTGTAAATAAATATTAATCATCTTTAGGCAGTGATTTCATTTACACTCTACTCTTGGTGCATAAAAAGTGTTTGAAAAAAATGCCTGAAACATCACAGGATGCATTTGAATCGATGTTTCCGACGAAACAGCTCATTAGCATTGAAGAATTAAGGAAACGATCAAACTCAATGAACAAATCTAACAAACCGATGATAAATGTCGACAATACTTTGATTGCGGCCGAGTCTAACTTTTGGCCACCGACAAATGCTTCTGAATTGATCAGCGGACAACGAGGACCACGTGAATCTCGTGTTAGTGTTGGCGATTTTGATAGTTGTTACACTGCACCCGAACCGTATGGTTATAAACGTGAAATCAGTCATAGGTAAATGTTCTTTTCCATTCAAAAATGGCCCCAATGCGATGATCCGAACGTTGTACTTTTCGGATTATATTGATAAAATAAGTGATGGCCCCAAGCAATGAATTTAAATTTAAATTGACCCCTGTGAATGCCAAAAGTGGATGTTTAGCTGCTTATCATTCGATTCAAAATGAATCGAATGTGTAAGCGCATGAATATTCCTTATCAATAAGCAAATGAGATTTTCTACTTGGAGTTATAGACAAACACTATGTGGATCATGTTTGTCCGCATACGTAACAAAAGAGGAAGAAAACATGTACCGATAACTGGGTTGGTGATAGCATATCACAAACAACTAATGAATTAGTATGTCAACACAATTTCTATTCTCTATCTATCGAACTGGTGATATAGTGAAACATGTACGACCATTCTATTCGGGAATTTCACGTCACAACGTTCATTTTATAATGGAATAGCCTTATCTTTATATATTTTATCGCAGCTTTTTGCAGAGGCAATCACCAGCAGCAAAAAAAATAACATTGCTTAATCTATGAAATGGCGATGCAATTTACAATTGAAAATATCTCCCTAGTTATAAATAGCTTTGAAATGCCAAGTGCTGATATTTTGTTTGCTTCGTCATATGAATTGGTGGCGCATTTAAAGCCATTCACTTTCATTGGAATTCGATTAATCTCGAACATCATAATTGTCATGTTGAAAAATCGTGACACTCGACTGCAGCAAAATAACATCGTAAACAATCAATCGAATACTCATCGTGAAAAGAAAAAAGAAACAATAAAATTACGAGGAAAAATCTCCGAATAGTATTGCATGACAACTTTTCACAGATCAATAGTTTTGTGTTTCAAGCACGTTCCGGTGCTCTTCACAACAAGAGATACTCACTGATGCACGCAGAGGTTTAAACAATTGATGCTGATTTTCAGTTTATTAAACATTTGATATGCACTCAATTCTGTTTCATTACCTGAAATATTATACATATATCGAAAGCATTGATGAACAAGAACTCAATCAAAATTCAAAATAAGTGCAATTACTGGAATTATAAATTATATCAGTTAATGAACCGCAAATGTTAATTGTTCTGAGCATTTCATTTGTTCTCAAATGTAAAAAAAAATCATGCACAATAAGAAATCAGAAGTTTATATGCCTATAAAGCACTCTTGAAATGATTATTATAATGATTAATGCGAATTTTAACGGAACAAATTGTAATCTTCCAATGGATTTGTTCAGAGCATTATCACTACTTTTGATTAGTCAAATTGACCTTTTGAGTATTTATGTAATATAACTCTGTCCAATCAACTGCCACATTATTATCTCATTATCATTGGGTGACGCGCTTTGCAAATAATAGATGAATAAAACGAAACAAACAAGTGTGCAATGAGCAAAAACAACGAAAGAAAACAATACATTTTTTTCTCTATATTTCCAAAGTAGCCGCAAACTTATTAACTCAGCATGTGTTTGGTCCGATTTTTTTGTAGGAATGACCAACGTCATCAGCAGATTGTATTTAATAACCAAGCAAATTCTATATAATCGCTCATGGATGACATCAGAGTCAACAATACAATTCCGCCTTGCTTGCTCTGTATTAACCGAATGTTTAGCTTAAATTGTTTGGTACGTTGATCAATATTTGTTCGTTTTCGAAAATTCGCAAATCACGTGTAATCCAGCAACTAATAGTGCGCTTGAAAATTCAAATGAAAACGATTCAAATAAACATTGGTTGATGTTTACATTCTCCTTTGTCCACTCGTATTAATTAATTTTCACGCAACAAGTATATTAATGGTCACCCAGAAGAAAAATATGCTTTATCATCATTTTTGTGCTTTTGAAAAAAAAAAAAATGCTTACATCAGGCGTTTGAATGCGTACTACAGCAATCATGCTTATTGATATGAAAAGTTGAACTTGAATTTTTTTTGATGTCGTCTGCAGATGCTATCTTTAGAAAAAAATCTTTATTTTTGTCAGACGTGAGAGTCAACGTGGCCCATATTTTTCTCTACGATTTTTTTTTAATTTTCCTTCAGTGATGTCAAGTTTATTTACAAATAATATAGCGTTAAAAACAATTATCGTAACTGACACATGCATATTATTGGAGCCATCAACATTGCAATTCATTTTAAATAGAAAAAAAATAAACTTCTCAAACTTTTTTCTATTATTTCGACATATCTTTCAAGTGTCTATTCTGTATTTGCCAACATTACAGAGAGCAAGGCTAATGGTGCCCATCGTCACATTTTTCTCTTTTTAGTTGTAATTAATATCACAAAAATACAATTTTTGGCAATGAAAATATAGTTTGCAGAAATTTATACGAATGGTTTTGATCAGATTTGATTCGTTTGAAATGCCGAGCAAATGTGATTTTGATGATCATTTATTTTAAATGTAGCATTAACGTGAGAAATTTTGCAATTTATTTATTGCAACATTATTTGAAATTGGATGTCATTCATTATGTCCTGTTGATTCTTTTCCGACATTTACTACTGCTAACGTCACATCAAAAAATTGAGAAGAAAAAAACTTGTATTGTCATAGTCAACAGCACACGAACACGAATCAGTTGGACTGACGTTGGATGAAATTGTTTTGCACCAAAAAAGGAATGGATGAGTTATTGGTGCACATATTTTAGATGTTGATTGGTTCATTTGCACACATCCATCGATATAAAGGAACTCTCTATGTTGAATATCAAAAAATCTCTGAAATTTCACCCGAATCGTCGAAGAGATTATTAAATTTTTGAGTGAAATGAGGTCAATTCAGTGACAAGAATCAGAAAGTGACGGCATCGCAATAGCCAATTTGAGAGAGTTCGTAGAATCGAATAATTAAAAATCTGAAAACAACATTTGGAAAAAGCATGTTGATGAAATTAAAACGCATTTCATGCTATGATTCAACAAAATTCCAACTTCAATAGACCGGTAATTTTGTTATAAGATTTTTTTTCATTCACATTGGTTTTAATTTACTCAAAACATTTGGACACTGAAGCTATATAAGAATTTAAAATTAAAGTTCACCTTACCCAATATTATATACATAAACCGTTTGATTGGATGGATATATCCGAATGGTAATAAACAACGGATGCTGCATTTAAATTGAATTTTTTTGAATGCAATCTCTATTTGAATTTCTTTTTCAATTAAAATACAAGTAATGAAATAGTTATTTATATAAAGCGTGTCATGCAATTTGCACAAGTACCATTGATATTATGAAGGCGCACTTTTACGGTCACTTAAGAGTGGCTCAGCATTTATTTCAAATTGCTTAAAAAAGGCCTTTGTAGAAAAAATCTAATGTTTGTTTTAAAGATTATGATGATTTTCAGACAGATTTAAATCTCATTTGTATTGAATTATATACGTCAGTATTTCGGAATAGATACGACATGCATATACATTTGTTACTTTAAAAAATAAATGATTGTTTGTTTATCGTGACAAAATTTGTGGTAAAAATATTCTGCTGTGCATAAATATTAACATACTGATAATAATAACTATATTGTATTATTTGCAAATTCGACAGCACAATGGACTCTTGGCTTCAGTCCACAAATCTCATATCATGTGACACACACAAATTTAACGCTGCAAGTAATGCAAATAATAATTATCGTGTATCGATTCATCTATTCGAAAGTCCCACACTGCAATGTATGTCACATAAGAGACTGTATAAAATGCAAAACTGTAACACAGCTAGCGCCACTACGTAGTACGTACGTCTATGGAGTTCTAGTTACTTGCAACCGACAAAAAGTCTTTTCACTAGTTGGCGCGGCAACTTAGTATAGATTACACTGGATTCCGTCGTGGCGGCAGTAGTCAGACAGTTTACTCATGATTTCGGTATGGAAAGTCTGTTTATTCATTGAGAATAATTACATAACATAATTCTATAGACAAATATTTATCTTTGAGCAAGTTGCTTTTGTTTTATACAATGAATTTTGTATTACGTTTAAACTTATTTGGAAAATCGTATCTACAAGCAAAATTCGACTATTCATTTATAATACCCTAAGGAGATAACAGATCTCAATATGTCAAATGGATATGCAGTTCGTACAAACATTGAGAGATGTTCGAAAATCATCGGAGCATTCATATTCGGAATTGATATACAATATTTTACTCAAAACTAATAGTAGTGAGTAAGCTTCTCTATCGAATCTAATCAATAAAGTGCAGCAATAATAATAATAAGGAAAAGAGATTGATGTGTTTGTGCACGTTCTTCTTGGCTGACAATTTTCCAGGTGCTATTCAGCGATAGCTCAATAAATTAAATTCTACCAAGAGACTTCACAGAGAATGTAGCATTCGAAATTATGTAATAAAACAAATTTTCTACAATATATATTGACTCTGCATTTAATAAAACGATTTGCAAAGATTTTATCGTTAAATTAATGTAGTTGTTTCAAAGATAATTTGCAAGTGAATTTGTGTTCACTTACAAAGAACATGCTTAGTAACGTGCTGAACAATGAATTTAAAATAAATATCCAAGCAAAATACACGCTATGCTTTGTTAATAGACCAACTTTGCTCTCTATCAATTTAATTGCGATTAATTTTCTAAATTTAATAAGCAATTCTATGTACTGCGCATATGGCGATGAATAAGATTGCAATCATAATTAGTCTTTTAAAAACCAAATGCATGTGTTGTTGAAACCTTCTAAATTGTATTGTACATGTACATTGTACATGTAGCTTTTGATGTTAAGCTAATTCTCTTATTAAGAGTTAAAACAGTTTAAAACATTTCAAACATTTTACTGTTGCGAATCTACAAAATTCACTTGATAATTGTTGATATTCAACTCTGATGACAGCATCAACACGTTTTCATACCAATCTTCACGTTTGACGAAATTTACTGAATAATTTTCTTATATTTTCTTTTATTAATTAGTACTTTAT